ATATATATGAGTGTATATATAATTAAGCTTTTTTGTGAATGTCACTTCTTTTCCTCGCGTTATCGGCAAAGATAAAACGCGACTATGCAGCATTTAAAGTAATCATTCGAGAGATTCGCCTTTTCAGAAAGAATTTCTAATAACAAAACAAAAAATATTCTTGACGTACTTACTTTTATCGCAACCTCATGTAGAATAAAATAAAATAATATTAAGCTTAGATCAATAATTCCTATTCTCCTCCCTCGAATTAAACAAGTTTGATTTAATGTCTTGAGACAAGAGTAACAGATATAAATTTAAGTTTACATATTCTTTTAGAATATATTATATAAATCTTTGTCCGAAGTTATAATGGCGATAATGACGTCATAACATTTGGCATAAAATCGATGTCTAAAATTATTTTATATTAGATTAAAAAATTTTTTATTTAAGAGTCAAATATTTTATTGTTAATAGTAAATATAATTTGTCTCTATATCAATTCTATTTTATGATAGATCAAAAATAATAATATTGAATCCGGAAATATATTTTATGGATGCGTGTATATGTTCCACTGAAAAAAATCGGATGTAAGCCGACGATGTACGGTTTCAACTATCAGCAAGATACCTTGTGTGCCAAGGAATTTGTACGCGATCGCAATTATACGTCCGTCTGCTTACGTAAGCACGAATAAGCACGCGTCGACGTGATCAGAGGATTGCGTGTGTAAGAGGTGCTCGCGAGAAAATTATATGGTTTAAGGAAAAAGTTTTATTAAAAAAAGGGACAGCACTCTCTCTCTCTCTCTCTCTCTGCGGAACTACAAAATTGCGACGCAATTTCGCTGCACTCTGTTGAGTGGAAACCGCATGCGAGCGCGATATATAGCACACTCGCTGTGTATTTGACTGTGCGTAACCGATAATGATTTTTCAAACTCTTTGCTTTTATGACACAAGATACCATCTGTTGGTTTACATCCGCAGAAAACGCTCACAAAAAATTTTAAGTGGTAGAGACGATAACGATAAAGTCAAGATATATGCTGATGGTTAATGTCTTTTCGCGGTCAACTTTACTTACAAAACTAATCCAACTAAGCGTGTGTGTGTGTGTGTGTGTGTGTGTGTGTGTGTGTGTGTTTGTGTGTGTGCACAGCATATTACGCATTAAAATTATAATCTGTATCACTACGTTGCTGAAAATGAGTTTAATCTGTAGTAGATTAGTTTCATGATGTTATAAACGACTATAAGTTATTTTTACGCTTAGACATTTATAAGATATTTACTCTCTTAGACATTTAGACATTTGTGTATAAATCTTTTTGATATAGAAATTACGTCAGCAATAACTTGCTTACGATGGATATATATGCTTTCTTTTGCGCTGTTTTTGTTATCTTTACATTTATAACGAAATAAGAAGGCAATAACATACACATGTATTATTACCTTCTTATTTTCACTAATATATGCATAAACTAAATAAAGTCACGGCTTAATAAGATATCGAGAGCCAATAATAAGTGATGAAATGGTCTGATTTTTATTTTTAAATATTTTGATAACAATATCGAAATAAGAATCTATACAACAGATTCGCAATATCTTTGATCTTCTCACATTAACTGAAACTTCTTTGGCAAAAAAATTGGTATAAAAAAACAGAAGAACTATATAAATTGAAGCAAGATCTCAGAATTCTTAGTTTTTTGTAGATATTCATAGTGGAATGTAAAGTGGCGTTGTTCGTTTCGTGATACAAGATACGACAATGTTTCGTAAAAACTCGTTATATAACATCAAAAGATATAAATATAGAAAGAATAGAGAATTTCTTAGTTTTTAAAACAAGCAATGTCTTTTTACGTTCCTACTACGAATATCTACGAAAAATTAAGAATTTCTAAGATCTTGTCTCAATCTATGTAGTTTTTTGTAAAAATTTTTCCACTAGGATTGGCGGAAATACGATCTAAAGATACAATCGATTTCGCAATGTTCGAAAACTCTGAAAAAGCAAAATGCCATTTTATCGATCGCTTTACGCAATCTACGGCAAATCATATCAATGACCGAGCTAACTGCGCATAATAAAATCTAGCGAGCTTCTTCAATCATACGCCTACAATAAATCAGTTATTTCGAGCAATAGTTCATGCTTGATATTTCAGGAGATAAACAGAATATCATTTTTGTAGCATATATTTAATGTTAAATATTTATTTTTAAAATTTATAATAAAAAAGTTTGTACGGCTAATACATATTTTTTTGTCATTTAATCGCATTACGTATAGGTATTGCTGCTTTAATATATTCTTACGTAGCAGTACCTGCAAGGTTCTCAGAAAATACAAATAGCATAAAGTGCTCTTTCAGCGCTTTGTAATCGCGCCACTACTGTGCTACGTGGGTTTTATTTAAGTACATGTTACACGTACTCAAGAATCTTTAAGTCTGTTCTTTTCGGCTGGACTTCTTACACGATTTATCCTTCCTCTTTTTCTCTTCACGTCGGAGAAAAAAAGAGGAAAGATCGATGTATGAGCGTAAAGAAGTTCAGCTAAAAAGAAACAGGCCTATTATGTTAATATTCATTCTCTTAATTGTTACATCCCAGTGAGAAATGATAATGAAATTGATATTGAATCGACGTCGATTCGACGTCGAAATCATCAAATCATCGACGTCGATATCGATTCGACATCGATTTCATTGTTATTTCTCACTGAGTTTTTTACTTTTATGCTCTTACTCTTTATTTTTTTGTTTATCCAATAGGTAAATTACTATATAGTTTATCTAAAGATGGAACAACCGACCCTAAGTGTTATTAATTTTTTATAAATATAATAATTAATATAGCATTACTCATGTGTTTCATTAACAATTATAAAAAAATTATCTATTAAAATTTAATTACAATTAGTATTGACAATAATAAGATTAGAAATTAATATTGAATTTAAAAAAAAATGTCCCTTTCCCTTCTTAAGCAATTGATCATTTTAATCTAAATTCACGCGTAATAATACCTACGATCCTGGAAGTAGATTGGTATTATATATACAGAGTGTTAGTTAAGTATGTTGCTATACTTAACAGAGCGATTCTTTGGTTTATTTCAAATAAAAAAGTCCACATAAACATATATCCTAAACGGCTTAGTTTCCGAAATACAGGTTAATGTTCGCAAATGTTTGACGGTAAATTGCGTTGGAGATATCTTCCTGCATAAATATATCTTGCTTCACGTGAGTTACCATTCGTATAACCGTAAATAAAGTGACAAAGTCAAAGTCAAAGTCTTCTAGATCACCAGACTTAAATCCTTTGGATTATTTCCTTTGGGGGCATCTGAAATCATTGATTTATACTATCCCAATTGAAATGAGAATGATTTGAGGAATCGAATAGTTGCTTCATGCGAGGCAATACGTAACACACCTGGTATCTTTGAGCGTGTACGTTAAGAAGAAGGTTCGATGGATGTATCATGGCGCAAGGTGGACATTTTCAATTTATTTAATTGTTTTATCAGAAGAACTGAAACCTATTTTTGTTTTTCTGTTTTTAACTAGTTTTTGACTAATTGCTGTATTTCTTTCAAATAAACAGATTATTACTACATGTTTAAATTTTTTTATTTCGGAAACTAACCCGTTTAGGATACATGTTTATATGAACTTTTTTACTTGAAATAAACCAAAGAATCGCTCTGTTAAGTATGGCAACATATTTAACTAACACTGTATATATAGGGTGTCTTGCAATTTTTTGACAAGCACTTTTGTGTAAATAGAGCAGACTAAACTGAATTGAAAAGTCTTCTACCATTTTGCAATTTTCGCAACAGTTAACAAGATATTAAACTATAAAAATCACTGAATATTAGTTTTCAATAATTTTTTATTCATATACTATCAACTTTACAGAAAAACAGTAAGAGACAAAAATTGCTTATTTTTTTCTCATAAAGTTCTGAGAATTTTTTCAGAATTTTTTAATACCGTATTTTTTCATGTTAGTAAAAATAATTGTCAATAAGAAAATGCAGCACTGAAAAGTTGATAAAAAATTCTGAAAATAATTCTTAGTACTTTATGAGAGGAAAATAAATAATTTTTGTTTCTTGCTGTTTTTCTTATAAAGTTGATAGTATTTGAATAAAAAATTATTGAAGATCAATATTCGGCAATTTTTTAGTAATTAATATCTCGTTAATAATTGCGAAAATTGCAAAATGGTAGAGGATTTTTCAGAGGATTTTTCGACTCAGTTTAGTCCGCTCTACATAAAAATGCTTGGCAAAAAATTGCGAGACACCCTGTATATATAGTTAAAAATATACGAATAATGATAAGAGAAAGAAAAAGAAACGGAATATAAATAACTTTGAAGAGCATGTATTTTTCTTCGGGCTCGCAGAATAAAATAAAATAATGACATTTCGAATGATCAATCTGATCTCATACCTGGGCGCGTGATTGTTTCGCGAGAGTCACGTGATAGCGCGGGACCAATCGCCGCTTATTTTGCGCATTTACTGTAGTTGTCAATATTCGCGACTGCGCGGGATTACCTGCTTTGCGTGACGTGACTTCGCGCTTGTCGTGAATGGCTTACTGGACTTTGTTCCTGCGGTGGCGGTTTGATAAAAATCGTTGTTATAAGATCTAGACAACTAGACATCGCGGGATTTTTCTATCCTTTGTCACGTTCAGAACAGAAATATGCACTTTGATTAATCGATTTTTTTAATTCAGTGATATTTCAGGTAATAATTGTGCGACGAGTGTCGATTCATGATTTTGAACATCTGTTCGAATTGGCAGAGGACTTGGATCGGCGATCATCGAAGGAGAAGAGAACGTTGATAATAATTTATTATCTCTTCTCTGTCGATGAAGTATTTTCCGATCTTACGTAAATTATGTATACTCTGCGAGTGTGTTTTTTAATGTGCATATCAAAAAGATATACATATATAAAACATTATTTCACTTTTAATCTTTCTTCATCAATGTTACTGATAAGTCTATTAGAATGTAAATCGGACAAATGTGAAAGGATTTTGTGTGCAAGAAGTTGAGAAACACTATTTGTGCTTGCAGGTTTTATAATTTTGAAATATACATATTCTTTATTTATAGAGATATGAAGACAATATCATACAAGTTTACTACACAAAGGGATCAGTTTTATGACACTAATGAAACATTAAGGAGATGATAATATTTTTCATCTACCAAAAAAAATGGTATATATTACTGTTTAATTGTTTATTACTGTTGATTATGTTAATATGTGTAAGGCTTAATTATATATCTTGTATTTTTTTCTGATTTAGATTAATAAAGAAAGTATTGTATCGACATCTTCATTATTAAGCATAAATCAATATGCGGAGACAGCGGATGGCCCAACTGATAACTTGTATCTTGCACTGATACAATGCTTCGGCATTATATTATGTGGGTAAGGATACATTTAAATACTGATTACTAAACTGTCTGATAAGCAAACTTTATTAAAGTTTGAATATGCACTTGAATTTTTCTGAAATTGTGCACTATTTCTCTTAGACTTCTCTATATGATGAATTTAAGTAAAGATTATATATTTTATGATATATGTTTATATTGCAGATATATAGCGGGAAGATTTGGTATGATAACAAAGACCGGAGCAAATGGTCTGAATACTTTTGTTGGCACCTTTGCTTTGCCATCTTTAATTTTTTTGTCTCTGGCAAAGCTTCACTTTACACTAGTTAATTGGAAATTTCTTCTTGCTGTATTGCTTGCCAAGAGTTGTGTCTTTATTACTGTACTTGTAGTTTCATTAGTAATTCAAAAGCCATCAAATCCTGGGCGCGCCGCGCTTTTTGCAATATTCACCACTCAGAGCAATGATTTTGCTATTGGATACCCAATGAGTAAGAAGAGAGAATAGATTTCTATACAATTCCAAAATGTTTCATATTATCCAATGTATTTCACGTTAGATATTGTCCTTTCAGTTTATGCCCTCTATGGAAGAACACATCCAGAATATGCTACTTATTTATATCTGATGGCTCCCATATCATTGGCGATTTTAAACCCAATTGGTTTTGTATTACTGGAGATAGGCAAGCGACGTAGGGAGGAGCACACAAATTGTAAAGACATGGTTTATTCGATTGTGAAGGGTGTCGTGCTGAATCCTGTACTTTTCATGACAGTCTTGGGCATTATAGGAAATTTTATCTTTAATCATAATGTACCGCGTTTGCTTGCCACAATTCTCGAGGTGTTCGGTAATGCTTTTTCCGCTAGCGCATTGTTCCTCCTCGGTATAATGATGGTAGGAAAAATACATAAATTAAAAGGTACAGCGCTAGTTATACCAGGTATACTGATCTCTGTGAAGCTGCTAGTATTGCCTCTAGTCATAAGAGAGTCTATTATTCTCTTGAATGCCGGTGATAATGTCACGGAAACGAGAAATTTGAGCACATACGGCTTCCTGTATGGTACTATCCCGACAGCGCCGGCTCTATTTATTTTCACTTTACGATACAATACCGAGATTGACTTAATTGCATCAGCTATGGTAGCTTGTACGTTTCTCTCTGCTCCACTTATGTTTGTATCAGCTAAAGTGATCAATGCAGTTTCTGCTGGAATTACACCAGCTAGTTATGCACAGCAACTTAATAACTTTTCCTTTGATATAAGCGTTGCATCAGCAGCAGCTTGTATATGGTTGTTGATATGCTTCCTTGGATTTGGACGAAAAAGATATAATAAAGTCACTCACCGATGCACTTTGTGCATCGTAATTGCACAGGTACATATAGGCGACAATTATTGAATATATTTTTTTACATATTTAGTTTTTATAAACATGTATTTCTATACGTTATACATTTTTGTACGAAATATTTTCTATTTATTTTCAGTTTGCAATAGCAATAGGTGTGATAATATGGTCAAAACTTGACTCAGATAGTAATCAGATATTATGGTAATTATAAAACTTTTTAAATAATTATTCGGTAATATTCGGTTTTATCAAATATAATTTTATTAATCATTCTTGTTAATTACAGGTACATCCAATTTATTTTAATAACTACTGGTGTATATGCAAGTAGGATATGGACAGCTGCAATTGCAGCAACATTACTATTCCTGAGTTCACGCTCATTATCTTTTGTTGAAAATCTACAAAAATGGTTTTATCTTTTTGGATGGGGGTACGACTATATTATTATAATTTATTTTAATTTAAATTACTTATAATATTGTTATGTACTATATAATATATATATTAATTTATAGAGTGCCACTTCTAATGGTGACATTAATATGCATCACTGTTAGATTAAATCCGTCTGATCTTGATTTAAAAAATCCAAATTTTCAATTGGGCAGGATTCAAGCCGCTATATCTTCATTTGTATTAATATTTTGCTTTATAGGTATGTTATAAGAAATATATATATACGTTAAAAGTATTTATTTGT